GGAGAGGGGCTCCGAGAGTTCTCACGTTGATTTCTCCGCGGGGGAGAGCGAGACGAGGTATCTTGTTCCCACATGCTGATGTGCTCGTTCTGCTGGAACATCATCAGATTGGTTTGGTTGATGGCTGCAAAGAGGGCAGCCATCATTGGATCCGCTTCAGCTGGCGTAGGAACGGGCTGGAAAACAACCGGGCTCCTTGATCGAGGTGCGGCGTGATGTGCCGCATCCTCAGATGAAGGGAAAACAGTATGACCGTCCCTCACGTCACCCTCGCGGGCGTGGGAGGGCCCAACTTGGTCGTCGTCATTGGTAATTAGGGCGAAGGCGGAACTGTGGACAGCATCATCGTGACGTGGGCTAGTCATGATCTCGGAAGTTGAAGTTGGAAGCTTTAGTTCTTCTGCTCGGAGGAACAGGGAAGCTTTATTTTCCCACAGACGGCGCCACTGATCGTACCTGATCAGAGAGATCGCTGGACTGCTACGTGTCTGAGCTGTCGAACTATTAACTTGATGGACAGAAGGGGGTGTACCTGAAACATACTTCGATGCCAAAGTAAGGGACGAGCAGAGTGATAACAAGCACAGAGAGAAAGGGGTGAGAATTAGATTACCTGACCCTCTAGTGGAATAGGGTACTTATAATGAGCCCCCAGCGCAGAGCCAACAGTTATTATGCGTTGGGTTGGGCTGCCAGGACCAACGCTGGTAACTGCTATGGGTGACGTGGCATCGTGAAGACCAGCACATGGTCTTCGCCTTAGTGTAATTATTCCGTGCTATCCGGGAGGAGGAGGACCGAATAATCAGGACACGGATAGTTACCTGATGACGTGTCTCCGTGTAGGGGACACGTTAAGAACGTGGGAGAGGTTCGAGGAGCTTCCCGAGCTGGATGGGTTCTGCCCGACCGTGGGGCAGAAGAAAGGCGAGTCAAACAGCTATGAGGATCATGCTCGATTGCCGTTGGTTTGTGCCCGACGGAGAGAAGATGTTCTTCCCGACAGGTCTCTGCCCGACGATGAGGTCTTATTGACCTTCCAACCTGGTGGGGTTTGGGCCTGCTCGACTATGGGTCAAGTGTCGGCCCAGTCCTGAACAGAAAATATATTGAAATTTGAGCTTTATTTTCTTAAAATTTCATTCCATACTCTTTCACTTCAACCAAACATACCATAAATCTATCTGGGTTATCATTTTCACCAATTTTGACTTAATCTCGTTAATAACAATGCATCGATATTGATTTAACTCTAGTATTCCACAAATTTTGATCTAATCATTATGATGGAATTGTTTTTTTTTTAAATACCACTTTACACAAGAGTTTTGTTACAAAAATTTAAAGGTGTGTTTGATTCGCAAAATTCTAAATACTTGATAGAACAAAACAAGACATTATAGAATCATACAATACAACTTTTTATATTTTATTGTGTTTGATGATTGATGTATTAAATAATTTTTTAAGAGTCTATTTGGGAGTTTGAAGGGAACGAGAATGAATGCTTTTAAAAAAGAGAAGGATTGAGTAAAAATAATTCAAGGATTTTGTTTAGGAGAGTTTGTTTTTATTCATAACACCAAAAATATTTATTCCTAAGACAAAAAAAAAACTCTAATTTGGAGGAATTCAAAATTTATAATGAATGAGGGTTTTGAAGGACTTGCATAAATTTTTCAAATATATTTAATGTTGTTATAGTATTCTAAAAAAAATAAAATAATAATAATAAACATTATTTTATCATTCTATACAAAATCATTCTTTTCAAAAATGTCAAGTATTTTTATATATTTTATTAAAAATTTGTTTTATAAGTCTTCCCATTCCATTCCATCCCCTCCAAACTCCCAAATGAAATTTTAGTGGTTGTACCAAAAAAAAATTGTCTCACAATTTAGTGTTAGACATAAATTTATATTTTTTTGTCAAATCTTTTACCATCAGTTTTGTTTAGTCCCATGATTATTTTTCACATCAAATAGGATATGAAAAAGTTCTTATCCAATCCATTGCTTTTAGCAAATCAAATTGACTTTAAATAATAAACTAAAAAAACGCATATAATAAAAAATTAGTTTTAAATATAAATTATGCACTATAGCCCTGATTTTTTTCCTAGATAAGGTCATGTGTTCTGAAATGGAATTGGAATGAATATTAATTCTTATGATTATTCCATTTTATAGATTAAATATCTAGATGGTTGAAATTGATATTAGGATTAAGAATAGCAAATTTGTTGAACTCTTCATCATTTTCCAAATCATCTAAATGTTTTTCAGCCATTGTCGCCCATGCCTCAACTCCTTCACATGTTTCCATCAACACAACTATATCTGGAATAGTTTCTTTTGTACCACCTCTTTGAGCTATCCACAAAGGCTTTCCCCAACCAAAATCCATCTCTTTAAATCCCATATTACCCCAACTTGTAAATACATATGATATTGGATTTTTATTTTCCATTCCTTCAAGCATTAACTCACCACACTCATCACTCCACAAAAAACTAGGATCATTTTTCAATTTTAAATACAATTCTTCATTAACCTTTCCAAATCCATCTCCCAAAATTCTAACCATATCATTGATTTTAGTTTCCCTTTTAAAATTCTCAAAAACAACCATAGCTGGCCATAATAAATTTCTGATTGAGTTTTGAAACAAACTCTCTCCCATCCTTCTTCTCATGTCCACAACATGCAAAACCACCACTTACCTTTTGCTTTCTTCACATGTTTTCTTCATGCAGGCTACAATCATGTGTTTACATATAAATGAAGACACTACTTTGTAACTTGTATGTAACTTTATTTTTACATCATCATTTTTTGAGGATATTTCTTTCAATTCGTTGATTGACTTGTTATCAAATAAAAATCTTCTCGTAGAGCATTTCAATTTTATCTGTAATCCTTTGTTAATATTCAATATGCCTTCCCTAACCCCGCTGGTGTTTCTTGGTGGGAAAATCGAATAAGAAATTGATAAATTTGGCTCACAAATTTCATCCATTGACCCATTGCAAATAGAAGACCATGTTTTCAAGAATAGACTACAAGAATATGCATCTAGTGTTGTATGGAGATTGCACAAACCAATAGCTATTCCACCATACCTGAAAATGTTCACTTGGACTAACATTTGTGGCAATACTTCATTGTAAGGATGTGTCTTGTTTGGCTCACAAGGAAGAAGTTTATTTATTAATTCCAATTTTGGCGGAAACTCTTCCATTTTCATGTTTATCAAAACTTCCATGTAAATCACACCTTCGTCGTTGCAATCGATAGAGAAGATATCATTTCTTCTACCACAAAGAGGGTAGAAAATTGTTAATGTCTTAGATAGTGAGTTCTTTAGTTTTGTTGAGACATTTGAGAATTCTTGCATGTCATTTGTTTTGCGATAAAATAGGATTAATGGAAAATTAGTGTTTAGTTGAAACACATCAAACAAACATAGTTTGTAGGTTTTGCGTTCGTTGGATGTAGGAGATGATGGTTTAATGGGTTGTGTTGATGTAATATTGATTTCCATTGTTAATAATACTACGTAGAAGCTATAAAGGTTGGAACAATTGTGTTCATCTTTGTGTGTGTATATATTATTTTACTTAGAAAAAACTACAAGTTATTAATTATCATTCATTTATTTTTATTTGATGTGATAAATAACTCTAGTTAAACAAACGCTTCTTTTTTTTTATCTAAAACAAATAAATATGCCATATGTTTCTTTTTTGCATTTAATTTTCCTTTCTCACATTCGAAAGCATTTAATTGTGAAAATTAACCCCGGTTTACTTTTTATTAATCATTTTGTGAACAAATTTTATATCTAGAATTTTAAAATTTGTTATATTATTTATTAACATTTTTAATAAAATCGAGTCATTATATTAGAGAAAATATAAAATACTAGTTGAAGAAAAACGACAGAAATTAGTCGGTGAATTTGACTTTTAAAATAAATATTTTTAAAATTGATATATATTTCTATCGTACATTTAAATTCAATTCTGAAAATACAAAATTTAGAATTTGAACAACTTGAATGTAAATAGTTGATTTTATTCATAAATTTATATGAAGCTCCACCACTCTCTAAGAATGATGCATTTTAAGAAATAAAGGATATAGGTATTTTGACATTTCTATTATTTCGTAAAGTGTAAAGTATATTGTGATATAATTCAAGTTTATTAGTTATGTTAGTTAGTTTGCTATTACTAGTTACTTGAGTTATAAGTAACATATTAGTATATATATATGCACACACAAATATGTTACTTATAACTCAAGTAACTAGTCATAACAAACTAACTAACTAACTTGAATTATATCACAATATACTTTACACTTTACGAAACAATAGAAATGTCAAAATACCTATATCCTTTATTTCTTAAAATGCATCATTCTTAGAGAGTGGTGGAGCTTCATATAAATTTATGAATAAAATCAACTATTTACGTTCAAGTTGTTCAAATTCTAAATTTTGTATTTTCAGAATTGAATTTAAATGTACGATAGAAATATATATCAATTTTAAAAATATTTGTTTTAAAAGTCAAATTCACCGACTTATTTCTGTCGTTTTTCTTCAACTAGTATTTTATATTTTCTCTAATATAATGACTCGATTTTATTAAAAATGTTAATAAATAATATAACAAATTTTAAAATTCTAGATATAAAATTTGTTCACAAAATGATTAATAAAAAGTAAACCGGGGTTAATTTTCACAATTAAATGCTTTCGAATGTGAGAAAGGAAAATTAAATGCAAAAAAGAAACATATGGCATATTTATTTGTTTCAGATAAAAAAAAAAGAAGCGTTTGTTTAACTAGAGTTATTTACCACATTAAATAAAAATAAATGAATGATAATTAATAACTTGTAGTTTTTTCTAAGTAAAATAATATATAAACACACAAAGATGAACACAATTGTTCCAACCTTTATAGCTTCTACGTAGTATTATTAACAATGGAAATCAATATTACATCAACACAAACCATTAAACCATCATCTCCTACATCCAACGAACGCAAAACCTACAAACTATGTTTGTTTGATGTGTTTCAACTAAACACATATTTTCCATTAATCCTATTTTATCGCAAAACAAATGACATGCAAGAATTCTCAAATGTCTCAACAAAACTAAAGAACTCACTATCTAAGACATTAACAATTTTCTACCCTCTTTGTGGTAGAAGAAATGATATCTTCTCTATTGATTGCAACGACGAAGGCGTGATTTACATGGAAGTTTTGATAAACATGAAAATGGAAGAGTTTTTAAGTCCGCCAAAATTGGAATTAATAAATAAACTTCTTCCTTGTGAACCAAACAAGACACATCCTTACAATGAAGTATTGCCACAAATGTTAGTCCAAGTGAACATTTTCAGGTGTGGTGGAATAGCTATTAGTTTGTGCAATCTCCATACAATACTAGATGCATATTCTTGTAGTCTATTCTTGAAAACATGGTCTTCTATTTGCAATGGGTCAATGGATGAAATTTGTGAGCCAAATTTCTCAATTTCTTATTCGATTTTCCCACCAAGAAACACCAGCGGGGTTAGGGAAGGCGTGTTGAATATTAACAAAGGATTACAGATAGAATTGAAATGCTCTACGAGAAGATTTTTATTTGATAACAAGTCAATCAACAAATTGAAAGAAATATCCTCAAAAAATGATGATGTAAAAATAAAGTTACATACAAGTTATAAAGTAGTGTCTTCATTTATATGTAAATACATGATTGTAGCATGCATGAAGGAAACATGTGAAGAAAGCAAAAGGCAAGTGGTGGTTTTGCATGTTGTGGACATGAGAAGAAGGATGGGAGAGAGTTTGTTTCAAAACTCAATCGGAAATTTATTATGGCCAGCTATGGTTGTTTTTGAGAATGTCAAAAGGGAAACTAAAATCAATGATATGGTTAGAATTTTGGGAGATGGAATTGGAAAGGTTAATGAAGAATTGTATTTAAAATTGAAAAATGATCCTAGTTTTTTATGGAGTGATGAGTGTGGTGAGTTAATGCTTGAAGGAATGGAAAATGAAAATCCAATATCATTTGTATTTACAAGTTGGGGTAATATGGGATTTAAAGAGATGGATTTTGGTTGGGGAAAGCCTTTGTGGATAGCTCAAAGAGGTGGTACAAAAGAAACTATTCCAAATACAGTTGTGTTGATGGAAACATGTGAAGGAGTTGAGGCATGGGTGACAATGGCTGAAAAACATTTAGATGATTTGGAAAATGATGAAGAGTTCAACAAATTTGCTATTCTTAATCCTAATATCAATTTCAACCATCTAGATATTTAATCTATAAAATGGAATAATCATAAGAATTAATATTCATTCCAATTCCATTTCAGAACACATGACCTTATCTAGAAAAAAAATCAGCTATAGTGCATAATTTATATTTAAAACTAATTTTTTATTATATGCGTTTTTTTAGTTTATTATTTAAAGTCAATTTGATTTGCTAAAAGCAATGGATTGGATAAGAACTTTTTCATATCCTATTTGATGTGAAAAATAATCATGGGACTAAACAAAACTGATGGTAAAAGATTTGACAAAAAAATATAAATTTATGTCTCACACTAAATTGTGAGACAATTTTTTTTGGTACAACCACTAAAATTTTATTTGGGAGTTTGGAGGGGATGGAATGGAATGGGAAGACTTCTAAAACAAATTTTTAATAAAATATATAAAAATACTTGACATTTTTGAAAAGAATGATTTTGTATAGAATGATAAAATAATATTTATTATTATTATATTTTTTATTTTTAGAATACTATAACAACATTAAATACATTTGAAAAATTTATGCAAGTCCTTCAAAACCTTTCAAAACCCTCATTCATTATAAATTTTGAATTCCTCCAAATTAGAGTTTTTTTTTGTGTTATGAATAAATATTTTTGGTGTTATGAATAAAAACAAACTCTCCTAAACAAAATCCTTGAATTATTTTTACTCAATCCTTCTCTTTTTTAAAAGCATTCATTCTCGTTCCCTACAAACTCCCAAATAGACTCTTAAGAAATTATTTAATACATCAATCATCAAACACAATAAAATATAAAAAGTTGTATTGTATGATTCTATAATGTCTTGTTTTGTTTTGTCAAGTATTTAGAATTTTGCGAATCAAACACACCTTTAAATTTTTGTAACAAAACTCTTGTGTAAAGTGGTATTTAAAAAAAACAATTCCATCATAATGATTAGATCAAAATTTGTGGAATACTAGAGTTAAATCAATATCGATGCATTGTTATTAACGGGATTAAGTCAAAATTGGTGAAAATGATAACCCAGATAGATTTATGGTATGTTTGGTTGAAGTGAAAGAGTATGGAATGAAATTTTAAGAAAATAAAGCTCAAATTTCAATATATTTTCTGTTCAGGACTGGGTCGACGCTTGACCCATAGTCGAGCAGGCCCAAACCCCACCAGGTGGAAAGGTCAATAAGACCTCATCGTCGGGCAGAGACCTGTCGGGCATAACATCTTCTCCCCGTCGGGCACGAACCAACGGCAATCGAGCAGGATCCTCATAGCTGTCTGACTCGCCTTTCTTCTGCCCCATGGTCGGGCAGAACCCATCCAGCCTGGGAAGCTCCTCGAACCTCTCCCACGTTCTCAACGTGTCCCCTACGTGGAGACACGTCATCAGGTAACTATCCGTGTGCTGATTATTTGATTCTCCTCCTCCCGGATAACACGGAACAATTACACTAAGGCGAAGACCATGTACTGGTCTTCACGATGCCACGTCAGCCATAACAATTACCAGCGTTGGTCCTGGTAGCCCAACCCAACGCATAATAACCGTTGGCCCTGCACTAGGGGCTTATTATAAGTACCCTATTCCACTAGAGGGTCAGGTAATCTAATTCTCACTCCTTTCTCTCTGTGCTTGTTATCACTCTGCTCGTCCCTTACTTTGGCATCGAAGTGTATTTCAGGTAGACCCCCTTCTGTCCATCAAGTTAATAGTTCGACATCTCAGACACGTAGCAGTCCAGCGATCTCTCTGATCAGGTACGATCAGTGGCACCGTCTGTGGGAAAATAAAGCTTCCCCGTTCCTCCGAGCAGAAGAACTAAAGCTTCAGACTTTAACTTCCGAGATCATGACTAGCCCACGTCACAATGATGTTGTCCACAGTTCCGCCTTCGCCCTAATCACCAACGACGACGACCAAGTTGGGCCTTCCCACGCCCGCGAGGGTGACGTGAGGGACGGTCGGACTGTTTCCCCTTCGTTCGAGGTTGCGGCACATCACGCCGCACCTTGATCAAGGAGCCCGGCTGTTTTCTATCCCGTTCCTATGCCAGCTGGAGCAGACCCAATGATGGCTGCCCTCTTTGCAGCCATCAACCAAACCAATCTGATGATGTTCCAGCAGAACGAGCGCATCAGCATGTGGGAACAAGATACCTCGTCTCGCTCTCCCCCGCGGAGAAATCAACGCGAGGACTCTCGGAGCCCCTCTCCCCGTCAACAGGGGCGCCGACCACAACTAGAGAGGCCCCAGCCGATGACCTCCAAGAAGCGCGTCCGATCACCTCACAGAGAGGAGAGGCGTTCCCCGGTCCTAAGAGCAAACAGACCGGAAGCCGCGGGCAAGAGGTCGAGGGGACGTAATCAAGCCCCTCAACGCAATCCTTCGCCCTCGTGCTCCCCAGTCCGTAATGACAAGGACGATTACGGGATCCCCCTTTCGCGAGAGATCATGGCAACCCCCATCCCCCACGGGATGGAGAAGCCACCTATACTCTCCACGTACGATGGTACCTCGGACGACCACCTGGAAGATATCGAGGCCATGCTCGACTACCGGAACGTCTGAGGAGCCATCAAGTGCCGACTCTTCCCAGCGACGTTAAGGAAGGGAGTCGTGGCTTGGTACAAAAGCCTAGAGCCTAAGTACATCACAACGTGGAGGGTCCTGAAGGATCTCCTCTCGCAACATTTCACGGCGTCCCAACGCCATCCGAAGACGGAGGCCGCCCTGGGCGCGATCATCCAAGCCCCGAACGAGCCTCTCAGGAACTACATCGAGGGATTCACGAGGGAGGCGGTCCAAGTGACGACTTCATATGACATGAAGCTTTACCTCACGGAGCAGGGCTTATGTTACGGCTCCAAATTTTATGAGGTAGTGGCGGTCCACTAACCAACCACCCTGCGAGGCTTCCTCGAGAAAGCCCGCCACTACATCCGGTACAAGGAGACCGAGACTGCTAATTTTTCCCGGGATTCCCATAACCATGAAACCCCCTGCGGGTCCTGAGAAGAGGGAGCTCCAGCCCCCCGGCGTGGGGGAGACCGACGACGAGACGGTCGTCCCCGAGAGCCCCGAAGCAGAAGGGCACTGCAGGCCGCTTCACCGAATACACAACCCTAGTCGCTTCCCGCGAGCGCATCCTAGCTGAGTGCACCAACTCGGAGTTCGTCCGAAGAGGTGTCCGTTTTCCCAAACCGACACCCCCAAGGCCAACGTGGAAAAGTCCAAATAATGTCGCTTCCACTGCGGCCACGAGCACGTCCCCGAGGATTGCATCCACCTGAAGGACACAATCGAAATACTCATCAAGGACGGGCACTTGAAGAGATACACCAGGGAAGGAGATGCCCCTCCACAGGAGTCCCACGAAGCCAAAAGGGTCGAGGACATCCCTCCTCCCTCCAGCGAGTCCGGACTGTAGGTGGCCCTCAGCATCAGTCGGCCTGAAGACTGGTTCTCTCCCTAAGAGAATACAGTCTCCCTACCGGGAACCCGTTGCCCGAAGAGCTAATACACCCCATCAGTCCGTGGGAATACTTCCCCACCACAATGGTCATCTCAGGCGGGGCCCCGAAAAAGCTCTCCATTGAGTCCGTGAAGAGGAATTTTGACGAGCTGATGAACAACAGCTCCGGCAAAATGAGCACGCACGACAAATTCCACGGTCGGTCTAACCCGATCACATACTACCTCGAAGAGCTGTCCGAAGGAGCCCCCAACTCCGCCATTCCCCTGCTGATCTGGGCACAAATGGCAAACTTCGACGTCCGCCGCATCTTGGTTGACGAAGGGAGTTTGGTGGATATCATGTATACCCACTTGTTCTCGACGCTACAACTCGATGAGACCAACCTGACCCCCTATGTCGGATCCGACCTTCAAGCGTTCAATGGGACAATGACAAGACCGTGGGGATACGTGGAGCTCAAGGTCACTTTCAGAGCACAAGAAACGGCTAGGGAAATCAACATCCGCTTCCTGGTCGTCGAGTGCCCATCCTTGTACAACTGCATCTTAGGCAGGACGATGCTAGTAGAGCTCACCGCGGTGCCATCGACGGTCCAGCTAAAGATGAAGTACTATACCAGGTTGGGAGCCGTCGTCACCCTCAAAGGAGACATAGAAGCAGCCTGTAGGTGTTTCGAGGCAACAATGAAAGGCCTCAGCACGATCGGTCCCTCTACTAAAGCGACCAAGCCTCCTCCCGTCCAGAAGAGCAGACCAAAGGACCACGTCGACACCGTAGCCCTCGACTTCCGCTTGCCTGGTGAACAGAACCACGAGGACAAAGCCGAGCACACTCATCCAACGGTCAACGGGCATCCTTTCCACCTAACACGCCCCATTCCAAACGGGGACTTTGAGATAGTAGTCCTCGGCGAAGATGCGGCCAGGAGCGTGAAGATTGGAGCAGGATTGCCCGACCTGGCGAGGAAGCTATTGAAGGCCTGCCTCCGTGAGAACGTTGACCTCTTCGCCTGGAGCGCCACCGAGATGCCTGGCTTTGACCCTAAGGTCGCCTGCCACCAGCTCTCCATCAACCCAGCCGCAAAGGCCATAGTACAACATAGATGTAGGCAGTCCCCCAAAAAGTCGGCGGCAGCTGAAAAAGCTGTAAAAGACCTCCTAGAGGAAAATTTTATTTCAGAAGTCAGGTATTCAACCTAGCTATCCAACGTTGTACTCGTTAAAAAAACAAATAGAAAATGGAGAATGTGCATTGATTACACTGATCTCAACCGGGCATGTCCCAAGGACACCTATCTGAAGGTGAGAAAAATACTTAGAAGGGGGGGGGGGTTGAATAAGTATGACAAATAATCACAGATTAAAACACAGTTATTTTTATCCTGGTTCGTTGAACTCAACTACTCTAGTCCACCCTCTCAAGAGTGATTTGCCTTTCTCAGTCAAGGACTTAATCCACTATTTAATCAAACAGATTACAATAGTAACACCTAAGAACAACTGTTCTTAGTCTTCTCAAGAGCTACTGATCCCAACTGGAT